CGAACCCGCCACCTTAGGTGTATGTGGCTGGCGCCTTAGCCGCTTGAGCCACAGGCGCCGAGCCCGCACACGCTTCTTTCAAAGCCCCTCACGCAAATCTGGCCTTTTATTGGGTCCTGACAGAGGAGGTGATAGGCACTGGACACACAGCTGGCAGGGGACAGACAGAGCCTGATGTCCCTCTGTGGCCTGGGTGCCCCTATTCCAGCCCAGTTCTGTAACATATTCCTCTCCCCACACCAGGCGGTATACGGCGTGCTGCGTGTCATGGAGGGACTGGAGGCCTTTGATGACCTGATGCGGCATACACACATCCAGCCCTGGTACCTGCGGGTGGAGAAGGCCATCGCGGAAGCGTCCCCAGTGCACTGAGTGTTCCTGCCCACAGGGGGAAGGCAGTGAAGAGGCCAACGCCTGGTGATGCTGTCTGTGTTAAGGGGACATCCTGCATCTTACCCACCTCTCGACTGCCTGTTGCTTCTAATACGGAGTGCCTGCTGGGGCCCTGGTGTACTAGGGACAAGGCCCAGGCTCAGTTTCCATTCACAACAGCCCTGAGGAACCGGGGGGATGGGTTCTTTCTCCCAGCACTGTGGGCCACCTCCGCTGTGCCTCAAGCCTCCTTGTCCTCTGGGCCTTCTCCTGGGGCTCTCAGTGGCTGTCCTGTGGATACACCCAGCGAGTGGGGATCAGATCAGACTCTTGCCCTCAACTGGGCAGTAGGACTGTTTGTTTTAGGGGGAGCCAAGGCTCTCCCTGGTTCTGATTCGGGATCCCAAGTGCCCCCTGGAACTGAGTCACGTTTATAATAAAAGGTTTGCTGCTTCAGTGTTAGGTGCTGTTATCTAGGTCACATGCCACGGGGGACTGTTGATCAAGTATGCCTCAGGGCAAGGCTGCATCAGCTTGAGTGCTGACTCCTGTCAGTCTGGTGCTTGCTGAGGGGCGGGCATCATGCCACACCACACCCAGGGCACCACTGTGGGCACAGGTCCAGGTCTCCCTTCACCCACTTGGTGATGGGACTCTCCAAGCCTTGATTTCTTCCTTTGTCCCATGGTGTATGATAGTCTCTCCTCATGGGAAAGTTGTGAAGGTTCTATGACAAGACTCAGGTCACATGCACAGCATGATGTCCAGCTCAGCAGGCCTATTCAGACTCCTGCTGCACAGAGTGTAGTCTCGGTCCCCTGGTTCCCCTGAGAGGCATGGTGGCCTTCCCTGGGGGCCCTCTGAGGCCAGGCAGGCAACCAGTGAGTCAAATGCCACCCTCCTGGCTCTTGCAGTTGGGTAACTGGCTAGCGCCCCAGACTCTCAGAAAAATTTTAAATTTTTATTTTCTTTCTTTTTCTTTTTTTTTTTTTAGACAGAGCCTCAAGCTGTCGCCCTAGGTAGAGTGCCGTGGCGTCACAGCTCACAGCAACCTCCAACTCCTGGGCTCAAGCGAGTCTCCTGCCTCAGCCTCCCAAGCAGCTGGGACCACAGGCGCCTGCCACAATACCCGGCTATTTTTTGGTTGCAGCCGTCAGTGTTTGGCAGTCCCGGACTGGATTCAAACTCACCACCTTAGGTGTATGTGGCTGGTGCCTTAGCCACTTGAGCCACAGGTACCGAGCCTCTTTATTGTTTTAAAAGCAAAAGTAACTCATGTTCCCTATAATATGAACTAACAGTCAAATAAGGTAGAAGTGTGTGTTGAGGACTCTGGGGACCGACAGTGTGATGTCTGGTCTGGAAGCAGACAGTTGTGGAGTCTGTGACCTCAGTTTCTCCTGCAGGGCTTGTCTGCCACCTGCTTTGTTCTCGGTCCCATCCAGGGCATCTCACCTTGCCAGCTCCTGCTGCACTCGCTCGTTCTTTCTTGTGACTACAGAGGCCAGCACTTCCCAGGCCCACTGTTGCCCACCATGTGCCAACTGGGAGCACTAGACTCAAGGTACAGGAGCCATAGGACACAGGAGACAGAGAGGCCAGGGCTGAGCATATGCTGGTCTATGACATAAGGAAACATGGAAGCCACCTTTGAGGGGCCAACAGATGTCCCACTTCCCTGGTCAGGGCTTAAGTCCTGGGGACCTTTGCTCCAGGGACTTGAGATGGCCTGTGGACCCAAGAATCTCCCTCAGGACAGAAACTAAGCCAGGAATGCCATGGGGTGCCAAGGGATGGCTCTCCCTGTATCCCTCTATCCATTTATCCCTCCATCTCTGTATCCTTTCATCTCTCCATCCCTGTATTGCTCCATCTCACCATCCCTGTATCCCTCCATCCCCAAATCCCCTATCCTAGTATCCCTCCATCCTTGTATCTCTGTGTCCACCATCCCTATATCCCTCCATCCCTGTATCCACCATCCCAGTATCCCTCCATCCTTGTATCTCTGTGTCCCTCCACCCCTGCATCCCTATCTCTGTATCCCTCCATCCCTGTATCCCTATCTCTGTATCCC